TAAATGCCGTAAGGAAATGTGAAATTGAATCACACTAGTAGTCTCACTGTTTTGAACAGAGGACTATTTCATTTTTCTGGTCTTCAAAATGACAGCTAAATCCTCAGCTATACCACTAGAAGACTTTCAAAACACCAAACTGAAGGGTTACAGAAATCTGAGGTATTTTTTATTTGCTTTTTTTTTGTTGTCGTTGTTGGTTTGGGGGTTTTTTTTGCTTCTCAGTGCACACAGCTGAAATATTTAACCATCAATACTAACTGCAAATAAAATAGTTTATGCTCCACACTGTGGAGCTCTCTGGAGTTAAGCCAGTATACCTACAGGAAAGCATGTGCATCCACCATTGTTCCTAATGACAAAGCCTGTACTGCCTTAAGGCTCTTAGGTGCTTTAAGTAAACTTGCAACTCAAGCAAAGAGCAGGGCCTGAATCCATTTGCTGCCAGACATTAACAACAGCCACCTTAAAATAGACATAGCCAGGTCTGATCCTGGAACAGTGTGCTGTAATCCCCATTACATACAGGTTTGTATGCAGAGGGTCTGAAACCAACACATCTGCCACAGCTTTGTTCCCTGGCTGAAAGGTTGTCTGACCTTTGGAACATCCAGGCTGATTTTCTGGGGTTGCTGTGCCTTTCCCAGAAATTATATGCCACATTTTATTTTTTCCAACTCACTCAGCATGCTCACATAAATGAACATATGGTGGTTAACATACTTACGGACATTAATGAATAAATGCTGCATGTGTAAAGACAAAAATGAGGTTCAGATAACAGTGATTAAAGGACTTTGAAAGAGCAGAATTTCACTGTGTAACCCACGGCAAAATTGCAGACAGATCAACAAAAGCCAATTTTAAAGCTTAAGAAATACTTTTGGAGCTCTTCAGCTAGGAGAGATGCACTTATTTTTTCAGAACATAAATAACCTCTTTTATAGAAACACAGCCATTAGAGTTATTATCTTCCATAGTTCCATACTCACATCTTGAGGTTTAAGGAAAAAAGAATTACAAAACAGCCCTCAAACCTATTATAAAAGTCAACTTTCCTCCCCTTGCACATGCTAAGTAGTACCTTAATCCACAAATATTCCCATTTGAATAAATGGGACAAATTGCTGAGTAAGGTTCTTCTTTCAGTTTAAGAATTGCTTTGCAAATTTGTCCAGAACCACAAACTCTATGCCCATGGGGTGAGATTTCATGTAAAGAGTAGGGGGTTTTTTATTTCATTAAACAAAAGAGATGTACTAAGTTTGTAATGCACAAAAACCATTATGTACCATCCACTGACGTCAATAAGAAATTGTTTGAAAGAGCTGTGGTCACTCTGTATTTGCAGTAGTTGCAAAATATTAATTTCGTGTTAATAGCAAACCAGTATAATATTAGAGAAATAATGCAATACAGCAATTTATATTGTTTCTATTCCAAAACACAACATATATACCTTATTTAAAATTATAACCTTTAGCTAATGTGATACATTTGACTTATTTGCTTCAAATGCCGTGCATTTTTCAATTTTGCAAGATATTTCTTCCCATCTGATTTGGAAAAGGGAGGAAGATAAAAAAAGAGATGATATCCTTGAAGGATACTAAATAAAAATTTGAATTACATAAATATGTAATGGAAAAAATAAGCTTTATATCATATTGAAAAGCACATGTAATATGAGCTGCAGAGATATTAAATGCTATAATTAAGATTGCAGACTTGCTTTCATGTAGCATGAAGCATGCAGAGTCTATGTTTGCAAAACTCAATGCTCTCTGTCAATTAAGAAGAAATTCCTGGCTATCTAAAGAAGCAGGTTAGCAAACAAGCTGACAAAAGACATCCATCTCCAGCATACTGCACTGAAGTGCTAAAGACTGCCAGTTGCTGGAATCCCATGAGGAGAGAGAGCTTCAGCCTTTGCTTGTAGCACAACATGGCTGCATGTAGAGACATCTCTACTGATTTATTCCATTCATTACAGTGCATTTCTTGCCTTTGTAGTGGACTAGAGCTATTGAAAATATGAATAAATAACTACAGTCTTGGGATCACTGTAAATAAGGATGGGAGACTTTTACTGCATAGCAAACAGGCCTCTTTTCCAGGGTGAAGTCCTGCAGCATCTTATGCTGTGCCTGTTGGTCTTATAAGTCTTCTGTTTTTCAAAGGTGCCTGTCAAATGCAAATGCAGCAGTCACCAAAGTGTGGTTTCTTGGCCACTTGTGGCCATTAGACCGCAGCCAGGAAACTGCAGCTGGTCTGCAGAACTCCGTTGCCTTCTAACTAAAAACTTGATAGCAAGCTTTGTGATCCCAAGAAATTTGAGTGCTGAGAAAACTCCATTCATTCAAACAGTTTAGGAGACTCTTTTGAAGTACAAATTAATATTGACACTTAGGTGTGGCTTTATATGTACTTGTAGGGATAGTGTGATACCATGTACCTCTATTCTAATTTGCTTTGCAAATTGTATTTTAATACTGTAAAATGAGACTCCAAGTACAAGTTTATTCATATCATTCATAGGAACAAGTGAAATAAATATGTATTCATAACTAAATTTATCAAAAATACTTTCTTATTCCTATGCTTAAGGAATATATACAATTGTTGGGCTGAAAGAAGTCCATTTTGGTCCATTTCTTCCGCTGAGTTAACAGTTGTCAACGTTTTTCTTCCCCTCAATTATTTGCCTTGTTGTTATCTTAAAACAAACAAATCTCTATCTGCTTCTCTTTTTGACCTTCATTGTCTATTTGGCAATGAGTCAAATAAACTTCTTGCCAAATAATTTTGTTCTCATTTTGCCTTTGCTGTCATTCAGTGCCCTGTCCCTCATTTCTGCCGCTAGTTCAAAAAGTTTTAGACCATTATTTATCTCTCCTCTGTGCAGTTTGGTGCACATCAGTGACATTACCCCTTACTCCTTTCCCTTACAAAGATGACAGACCCAGTTTATTTAAAGCTTTTATTAGATCTTTCAGTCTCTTTATCTTTTGCTGAGCTCTGCTCCACCTTTTTTGTTACGAGGTTTAGATAATAAAGACCAGACTGTGTTGCTCTCCCTTGTGTCCAACGTGCATTTCACCAGGAGCGATCACACTGCAGTCAACAAAGGTTGCTTATGGAGTAAGGTACTACTCAATTCAAGATTCACAATCTGCTTTGGAGTGATCAGGACTCTACACAGTATTCCAGGTTCAGAGAGGTAATTTCCTCTGCTTTCAAGTACGTCTCTACTTACGTGGTTTATAATGTTATTATTTAGCTTTTGCTTCTGATTAGTTTTATTTGGAAACAGTATTTTTAACCCACTCATAGCATGCTGGTTTATATTTAGTCCCATTGATGACTCAGTCCCATATGTTGAGCTTCTGAATGTTACAAATTAAGCTAGTCTTAGAGCTAATCTCATTTTAGTAACCACCTCAGGTCCCCTTTCCTCCACATTGGCATAAGAGGGAGCAGTGGACCCTCCTGTTGCACTCAACTTTGGGACCATATAAATGCCATACAAAAAGGACGGGTCTAGCAATTGTGACTACAAATGCCCTATTTTACATTTTTAGCATATGTTTGCATTTATTCTTTTCCAATTAATCAGTCTCTTTGTTCATGAGGTTATTAAAAATTTAAAAAAAGTTCCTCTGCCTCTTTTGATGTCTTGTATAACTCCAGGACAGGCCTTGATAATACCAGCATTCTTAATGCAATTTAATTCCTTGGAACACTGATTTCCCTCTATTTTTTTAATGTACATATGGCTGATTTTAATATCCAGAATATTTTCTGATATTCATTAAATTATCTGCTGCAATCAAGAAGAGAATTTATATTTCTTTATCAAGGTCATGCCTGTTACTTCACTGAGTTTCAGACAGAGTAGTTATGATACACTATACTCTCTTAATTTACTCCAAAACTTTATCAGAAGTTAGACAAACTGCCAAAGAGTTTTTACCTATTCTTGACTCATGTATTTTTACATTTATGCAACTGCATTTGTATTTTACAGCAATATTTCTATGATTCTATTGAGTTCCTTCTGTGTTTTAAATTAATTCTTAATTATTCAACCACTTTTCCTTATTTTATAATTATTACTAAATGGCATACTTAGCTACAGTGTTAAGTGTTTACCTTGGACCACTCCTAATTCCAGTCTATTCTCCCTGTTTCTCCAAGCAATTTTTTTCCATTTCACTCCACTAGCCACCATGGGCAACCTTACAAAAACATGAGAACCATCTCCCATCTCTACAGCAAGACAAGCAAGCCCTTTGCGTTTCTCAAAACTACAGTGAGAACACCCCTTTCTTTTTAATACAGTAGAGGTAAACATTTGACCATACTAATCATAAGGACTCTTTTCAAACCAAGCATATGTAAATAGCTATGTTTGTGAGTACACAAGGACACAACAATTCGAGGAGTTCTCTCTTCTTTCTCCCTTTTTTGATCTTATATTGGTCAGCCATGGATGTTTTATACCATACAGCAGCATAACATACTTGGCCTTTGGGGAGTAAACAAATCACCAGAAGTACACATTTTGTTGTGTATTTTGAAGGAACACATCCCAGCTTCCTATGTAAAAAGAGTGCATAGCAGTTCTGTTGCCTGGTACCTATGCAGTTCAGAAGATCTGCCCTTGGCAGTGTTTCCAAACAACACCTCTTACACAATGTGGATAAACTGCTCTGCCACAGGGACTCCCTGCCTGAACCTCTTCTATCCTTCTCAGCATGCATGGCACCAACTTTGCATTGAACTCCATTTACTCTAACCCTGCATGCCAGTGCATTTGTTTTTTTTCCTTAAGTAATGTGTTTTAATTAACTTATCCCCCCAAACCTTAGGTTCTTCTTTCTAGTGCACTGTTGTATGGGAAATGCTGGTAAGGACAAGGGCGTGAAAACATAGAATATCTTCCAATCAGATCTCAAAAGTTATTTTTTAAAGCGCAAAAGTTTTTAGAAAAAAAAGTGTCAGCTTCCATTGGTTATTATAACAGATGTTCCCTTGTGTCCTTGTGCTGGATCTTGCTGCATCCTTAAGTGAGAAGTCACATCAAAGTGGGATCCATTACAGCCTAGTGAATAGTTTCTAATTGTTTCAGTGTCATATAGATGCTCCAGGGCATATCCAGTTAGTGTGTAAGCATGCTTATCAAAGTACTGCCTGTGGGAGCTGTAATAATTTGGAGAGGCTGCAGGGTGGTCTCCTTGGGTTTGTTGAGGAGACATGTCTGAATGCAGGTAGTCCTTAGCAAGTACCAAACTAGATTTTGATATTCGGTCAGAACTGGGGCTGCTTATCCTAGACAGTGCTGTGGGGCTGTTGTCATAGTCATTTTCATGTGGGCTCATGATCTTCCCATCCCGCTGCTGGATGTGTTCACAGGGAGGAGTGTTGGCAACTGTTGGCACGCGGCAAATGTCCGCCGCCAGCTGCTGCTGAGGGTAGCTTGCAAAACAGATAGCGTGCTTCTTCCCTGTGCCATTAATGGACACCAGTGGGTCAGGAGTGGTTTTCCGCAGCTGTAGCCTGCTTTCTTCTTCTTTAATCATTTGCTGGGTGGCTCTAATGAGAGTTTCAATTTTGCTGGGCTCATGCGGACTGTTCTGGTACTGCTCGGTACGGTATCGGTCTCCTGACTCGCTGGCAGAGCCAGGATCGGGTGAGCTAACAACACTGTCCTCATCCCAGTGTCCTCTTCCTAGGAAAGAGAGAAAGGAGACAAGCACTGAGGTTTAAGTGATCTTGGAGAACATGAATCTGAACCTAATTCCACACACAGAAAATCAAGTCAGAGGCAGGTCATAACAGTCAGCAAAAAAGACCCCTTGCTTTTCAGTGACAAACTTTAGTTTCCAGTGTCTCCACTTGAAACAAGCAACACAGCTGATAATATGCAAAGAGACCTAAGCACCTCAGCACAGGTATCTGGCGTCGCCTGATACACTCTTGGGTACCCAAGTACCTGGATAATCCCTGCAGGTATGGAAGCAACTCAAAAGCAACTCTTTTGGAGCAGCTGGAGGCCAGGCAGGATATCCTAGGACATGCCAAAGTGCCTTCAATGCCAGTGTTCAGGCCCCTGGCCCCTTACTACCTCTTTGCATCAACAAGGTCTGAGTGGATTGGGTCCATAGTAAAAATAAAAATCTCAGAGAATTACAAATGTACAACATTCCAGCCCTACCAGGAGTTAAAACAGAGACAGCATTGAGAAATATCTTGTGGTTATGTTGGGACTTGATGCAGGATACACAGCAATAAATAACCACAAGTGGTAAGGGAACTCTTCTTCAAAAGCTCAAGAACCCATAGCTGTTAGACAGAGACCCTGTAAAAATGTGATGTCATATCCCCATGCATAAATATTTGCTTTTGAAATGGGAAATATTATGGCATTCTTACCACTCTTTAAAAAGTAAGGCCCATATACATACCAAACAAGGTGTTCAGCTTGCAAGTAGCTGAAAGGACAGAATCATACCTGTCAGTGCTCACCAGAAAGAAAGAGAGTGGCCCCAAAACCTGAATGGTCAACATTATGATAAAGGGCTTGATTTGCTGAGATGCTTTCCTGCAGGAGGGCCTGTGTGTGACTTGCACGTGTTACTTATTGACGCCTCTGCCTTGGCACACACAAAGTCCTCTTTGGGAGCGAACACTTTGGGTTGGCTGACCGTACTCCTCAAAGCAAACCCATTTTCAGACTACCACATGAAGTTTCCCCTGTTTTGTGTTGGGTCAAGGCATACAGATCTGTTTGGGTTGCAGACCAATACCATTGCATTGCAGAGTACGCTAGAAAAATCAGTGATGGGCTTTTGCAAGAAAAATATCCTGCCACTGCTGGGGAAGTACTGCACTGTGGGCTATCATGGACATGAATTTATCCTTCACATCCTCATTTGGACCCAAAATGCCAGGGCTAGTCAGATTTTTTCCCCAAAGCTACGCACAGATTGAAGACCTACTGAAAAATGTAACACTTGACATATAAAAAACCCAACAAAACAAACCTGCAGCATCTGAAATTACAGCAAAGCCAAACAACACACTATGACCAAATTATGTTACCCATTTGGGTTAATTATTCTTGATAGAGATATGGAATTAATATCTAACACTTTTCCATTTGTACCTCACTATGATATTTCCATGTTCAGCAAGAATTATCATGCATAAAATTTGCCAACAGATTATCATAATTTGCTAGATTCTCTTTTTTTGAGAAGAAAAAGCTAGAAAAACACAAACAGGGCAGAAGAACAGAACAGACACAAGGAAGGAGGCATGTTCTCACAGGAAAAGGGGACAACAGTTCTCATCAGCAAAATTTTCTGGTTTTTCCTCTGGTTGTATTTCCTGAAACTTGCTATTTAATAATTTTTTCTAATCTCAACATAATTTTCCTCCGATTGGAGCAAAACAGAACAGCTCTTTTTGTTAACAAAGCCTCGTTCCGCAGATCAATGGAATAGTACTCATGTAATCTGCTTTATGCATTCTTTAGAGGCAACATTTGTTTTGAAGGACCCTTTTGTGGAAAAACTTTTTTTTATCTTGCAGCCATTCTTAAAACCTTGAATTCTGACTTTAGGGCCTGCTACTGTCTTCCAAGACTAAGCCCATAATTTTGAAACCAAGGATCTTTTGGACTTTTCCAAACTCAGTATCAGGCTTTCACTGTGGTTTTTTTATTAGCTTCAGCCTCTGAAAATGTTTTAATGCACTGAGTTGCAACCTGCCAGAAACTAAACAAAATTTCAGGCTTTGTGCTGAAAGGATGGAGAGGTTTAAACTGGCTAAAAATTATCACTGAGGATAAATGTCTGAAGCCAAAAACAACTGTCAATTTCAATAGCCAACTTTAAATAAATATCAAATCATACAGAATCTAGTAATAACCAGTAGGGAAAAAAGTCACTCGGAGAACAATTTCTCCAACAGCTTTCAAGACTTTTTAATTTCTAGCTTGGATTTACCTATAATTTTTTGCTAAATATATTTCATCTGAAGTATCTTGATCCTAAGTCCAACAAAAACCACTTTTCTATCAAGTGGATAATTTTGTTTATACTTTTAAGATCACACTTAAAATCTCCTCAGTCGCATTTTTCCACCTAATTTCACAATGAAAATACAACAAAACTATATTTTTCTTCATATAAACCAGACTATAAAATTCTGCTCAGCTTGAATTTTAAGTATCATCTCTGCAGATGTGATCGCTGAGCCAAGCACATACACCAAAAGCATCTTATTTTCCATCTTTCACATAAACAGCTGTGTCTCTGTCGTACTGCTTTAGCCGAGATGATGTCGCTTCTGCAAATCCTTGTTATGTCTTACCATGAATCCTGTGCACTGACGTGATATGGGGCATACTGTTCTCATACGCTTCTCTGCTCTCGGGGGACGACTTAGTCAGAGGCAAGGCTGAGCGAGAGCCCCACCAGCTCTCCCTTCCCGGCTGCGGCGTGCCAAGGAAATACCGGCCAGCTTCGCATCTGCCTCCCTCACAGGCCTGGCTGTGGAAATGCCTGTCATCAGCCAGCCTGGAGTGGTCCAGGGCAAAACCATAGCAGAGCGCGCTGCGGTCTGAGTACTGTCTGTAGGCACAGGAGACGTCGTGGTGCTGGGAGCTCGCTCTGTCCGCAGGCTCCAGGAGCTGTGGGGAGGCCGTGTCGGTCAGGGGGCTCCCACCCCACTGGCTCTCGTGGTCAGACTCGGATCTCTCCGTGTGAAACCCGGAATACTGCAAAACAGGAGAAGCAGCATGGGAATTACCACACCTGGGTGAAATCTGCACGTACCTGCACTGGGGAGGCAGGGTGTGTATGTGACAGTGTGTTTTTTGTGAGCGTGTCTGCACCTTCTGATTGGGCTCCTGGTCGTTTCCTGTACAACACTCTGTAATGAGCTCGCAGATGACAGGACAGACCTCATGAAAATCTAAAACATCCCATGTCGGCCCTTAACAGCCATCTCCTTTATGATGTGTAATATTAGGCTCAGAAACATCAATGTTGCAATTCAATATATTTTTAGTATGTCCAGGTTTTTCTTGTTGCTTTGAAAGCTGTGCTTATGCTCAGCCAAGGTGCTCCAACTCACTTCAGCAAAACACTTCCAAAAGGAACTGAAATAACACTGCTCCTGGAGCATTCTCACATGTCAAATTGAAACCGAATGTATTTGAAGGATTTTTTCTAAGGGTTCACTCTCTTTTTCTCATATTTTGTTTGTTGATATTTTTTTCTTACTTGGAGTTGCATCTTTGAACTTATTTCCTCTTATTAGGAAGGAAAAGTTGGCACCACCAACAATTTTGAAAGCTCTAAAGTGATGGCAGATAGGTAGGAAGATAAAAATCCCAGCTCTGTTGCAGTATGGGAACAAGGGAAATCCAGAAACTATTTGCCAGTAATGGTGAGTGCTGACCAAAGCAGACAGAATGAGCATTGTTCACCCTCACTAAAGCAGGGCCCTCCCAACACAGAAAAGCATCTAGTAGATTGTTTGAAAATTAGTCAGGACAGGAACATAAGAATTTGCTTAGAGAGAAGTAAGGGTTAAGTTAAATGTCACAGATTTCTAGATATTCATATTCATATGCTTCCAACTTTTAGATACCTTTTGGGAAAGGAAAAGAATGTTTATTAAACCCCCTAGGATTTAGCTATCTCATTTTTAAATCTTTTTATTTATTGGAACTGTCAAACTTCACGGAACATTTTTAAATCAATTTCACCCATGATTATGGGCTGGGATGAGACCAAAGCTGTACATGCTCACCTCTTCAGCGCTGCACACTCATGTCACAAATCAATGTATTACAACATGAAACCTTGGAATTCTCCCATTCCATCACTCACCTTCCATATGCCCACTCTGCCTTTTCTTTTAATAGGCCTAACATAAGGTTACCTTCCTTTTCATTAGATTAAGTTGCTATGAAACTCCTCATTATCAGCCAGGATCAAGGTTTTATGCACTTACCAATCGAAAGTACTTACCAGATGTTTGACTTAGAGAAACCTAAACCATGTGTGCAACATCAGTGGAGTTTTTTGGCATTTAATTGGGCATTGCTTCAGTATTCCAGTTTATATTTGTGAATACTGTTTAGGTTGTGAACATGATAGATTTTTTAAAGGAAACAAAGAAAGGGTCATGGCTTTGAAGAAGTCAATTATATTTTGTTATTAGTTGTCAGAAGAGTATCCATAGGCAACAAGCCTACCAGTAGACATGGAGGAGGTCAGAAAGTTAGTGCCACCATACTCATCACAAAGGTTTAGAGGTGAAAGGCAAAAAAACCCATGAATTTTCATGAAGGTTAGATAGTTACAGAGCCACAAAAGAGCTCTTTTAAATGCCAGCAACTCAACATACACTAACTAGGAACTTTGTTCCGTCACCACAGTGTTATTTTCATCAAATGGAGCATCTGTCTTTTCTATTACCCTTTCAGACCTAACATTTACAAACTGCTTAATCACAAAGACACCTTCTCAAATAACAGCTGAATTATTGTAAGCTTTTTTACAAAAATGTATTGTAAGCTTTTTTACAAAACAAAAATTACTGTAAGCTTGTTTACAAAAAAATGTGATAAAATTAAGTTTCCAATTTAAAAAATTTGAAATTATTAACAAGATTAATAGTTACTAAATTTTATTTAGGAAGAAAAAATCAAAAAAGAAGAAAATACATTTTAATCTGTTTTTAATTTCAGAACTGTTTTTAATGCTCTGTTTGAATTTGACTTGTATAAACCAGATTTTTTTAATTTTAAAAGTTAAGCAGAAATATTATACAGCATAAGCCTAAAAGCAAATATAGAAAAGTCAAGAGTTCATTTGTTTTCTTATTAAAAATAAAACTCCTAGTATGTATTTCTTTCATGACAAGGACAAGGAAAATTAATTTCCAATAATATTATAATGAAATTTCTTTTTGGACTATTTATGATGATAATAAATGCCAGAAAATCTTTCAAACTGAAAACTCCTAATTTCCTGCCCTATCTCTACTAGATATTCTTCTATTAGTTCTCTTTTTCTAAGGACACTTCAGTGTCCAACATAGCTTCTCTTGAAGGGAATATCTTCCTTTAACTGAAAAGTTGTGCAATTTCTGCTTTTATCTTGAACCTAATCACAAAAGGCCTTTGTGCACTTCTCCTAGAGAAAGGGAAATGATCTCATATGTTTTATATCTAGTATCTCAGAAATGCACTGTGTGATGTCATACAACCATGTATCAAGACCAACGACACTTGACTCATCTTCTTCCTCCTTGATGCGAACGAAGATTATTTGAGATCTGACCCGTGGCAGGTGTTAGGCCATGGACAGAATTAAATTAACACAGTCAATTGCTTGTGGTCCACATTTTCTGCCAAGGTTTGATATGAGTATTTACTCCTAAGGTGCAACATAAGCAGACAGAGGGCAAAAATATGTCTAATTTCCTTTAAAGCCAGTCACATCTCTATTTGGCATCCTCAGGCTGCCTCCACTGCTGCAGTGCAGCCACTGCCTCTTCTGGGAATCTGATGTTGACAGGTGGAGACTTCAAATATGGGCATGTGTGACATGTTGATGGGGGAGAAATGAAAGGGTGATCAAAGATATTGCTTTACTGAAATGGGAGTGGAAACACTATCTCTCAAGTCAGAATTAGGCTCCCATATGTCAAGTGATGAAAGACCCATAAAAATTAAATACGATTTAATGAAAATTATGGTAAATTAAAATCAGTTGGGTTTTTTTTCAATCTCAGTCATGTCTCAGCAGAAACACTTTATTGTCTGCTAATTTCTGCTCTCTGACTACTATCAGGAGTCAGAAGGCAAAATTAATTTATTACTTTTGAGTTTTTGACAAAATTTAATCAGTAGATAATGATAAAGAACTTCAAACTGGCAACATCTGAATTCCCTTCAGGTGATTTCTGAATTGTCATCTGGCATAAAAAATAACAAAATATAAGTTAAATGGTGCTCCAGCTGGTCCCTGGAACCTGAATTGTCACCTCTGAAAATTAGAAATGTCTTCCAGAGTGGTAATCCAGCATACAATCAAAGTGAGAGTGCACCAGCAGGATTAGCACCGACAAAGAAAAGGTCTGTGGGCCATCATTGATGCATTTTCATTTGAGGAAAAACTTCAGGAGGGTTAAAGAGATAAGGAAATAGGAAGATATAAATTCCATGTCTAAGGAAACTTACTTTATGAGAGTCCAGGGAAGGGAAGTGTATTAGGCCAGTAGACAATTTAATATTTCTCGTGTGATTTTCTTTTGCCTGCCCTTCTATTCCTACAGGTGTCTCACTGGCCTGAGGACTTGTCCTGTCATACAGAGCAACATCAGCCTGCTCTACATGCCACCCCAGATGTTCAAACAGCACACATTATAGATATATAATTTTCTGGCAGCCTACTCAGGCTTTTATCATTATAAACATTAAATATATGGTGAAACCCTCGCAGAGCCCTCTTTTCCATGAAAAACTTTCACTACATCAGCATTAACAGCTTTTCTCTTGATTTGTGTCTGAACCACGAGGAAAAAGAACATCACAGATGCAGGCTGCATTGTACTAAGAACATATGCATGATTTAAATCACTTTTATCTTACATTTTACTAATGTAATCCTGAAATGAAAAATATGCTCTTTTCGCATTCACTATTATAGGCACAACAGATGGTGAAAGGCTTAGATTAAAGTAATACAGCATGTCCATTAAAATAACCCCCACTGCTGGTGACTCTTCACCAGACCAGGAGTTATGTTTACTATAAAAAGAGGGGTTTGCTTTGCTTTTGAACACACTAAAAGTTGCCAAAGCTTTAGGCTACAGGAAGAAATTGAAAAAAAACAAAAGCCAGACTGGCTAGAATTCTTCCTGATTCTGTTATCTTTACTCCATTCGGTGATATGTCCAAATAGTGATGAATTGCAGAATTAATCCAAATTATCCATCTAAGGGAGATATAAAATTAATATATCTCTGAGAGCTGATGCATTAATATATACACCTATGTACCTACCCATTAATATATACCTATACCTCCATCCAACAGCTCTTGGGTACATCCTTACTTGTATGTGTGTTTTCATTTTATATATATATATGTATATATAAAATCTTTATCCAAGAACTAAGATGAGATATGAAGGAATAAACATTTATCCAGATCTCACCATGAAACATTTCCACTGCAGGGGCAGACAACAAGCAAGTTAAACATTTTTTTATACAACCATCATTAATGGGACATTTAACTCCAAAGCAGTTCAGATGATCATAATTAAAATGCATAATTAAATAGCTTGCTGCTATTGCCTGTGTATGGAATTAATGAGGTCCTGGGCTAGTTTTTGGGAGTACAAAGGTACAGGGCTAGATTTTGGGAGGCCTTCACAATGATGATAATGATGATGATGATGTTGTGGGGAAAGACTGCAGGCATCTTTTCACCAACTCATTATTTCCTTTTTCTGCAAATATCTATCAAATCTTCATCTGCCTTTTTGGTTTTTTCCCCACCATCTCTTTCAGCTCTGCATGCCTCTGGTGGGACAGGACTAGAAAAGCACTCTTCAGACTCTGAGAAAATTCTGCAGCTGGGCCATGAATTTTGGGTTGCTCTCCTCTCTGCTGAGGAGGTTGCTCCCCTTCCCCTGCCTGAGGCTGGTTTCACAGAACCCACTAGCCCAGTGTACAAACAGCACACTGTGTTAATCAGACGATGACCAATGCCTCCAGTTCAATGAATTCAGTTTCACTCAAGAGTCTGCAAGATGCACATTATGCTATATTTACTTTTGCATAAGAATTGAAGGAAAAACATCAACACTGTCTTAGATGACTGAAACACGCACTTTTTGCCCTAGTAGTAAAGATTCAGCTGAGATTGATTAGTAAAATTTTCATACTCTTCACATCTCATGTACCTATCTTAGGGACACAAGCTGGCAAGGTGAAGGATTCTCAGTCAGCATCCAATAAAGCATATGATTTCTTTTTCTCTTCAAGAGAGAAGCAAAGTAAATTATAAGAAAACAAGAGAAAAGGGGAAAATGGGAAAGAAATTATGTACTTTTAAAATCTCATAGGTGTCCTTGACCTTAAGAAGTATTTTCCCTACTGCCATTATTTTACTAATAAACTTTCTGCTTCCTTTCCTCACTACAACTCAGGCTCCTGTGTAAGCCAAAACCCGTGACCTCGCTCTTCAGCTGTGACTTTTAAGTCACACTCTAATTCTCCTCTACTGTCTGGCAAATTACATGGGCAGGAGACTGAGGGACACAGGCTGTACCACCTGCTGCATGTTCTTCACAGCAGCCTCTCTTAGTCTTTCAACAGTTTATTCAGTGGTGGAGAAGGATGACAGAGGGGCAAAGCCAAGCTGCCAGCATTACTTGTGGTGATGGGCTGCAATGAATGGCATGACCATTTTTCAAGATACTGGCAACTAACATGGCTGCTTCTTTTTGAATGATGAAATATGTGACTTTAATATCAGGCAGCTGGTAATGAGGATGCAAAATGAAAGTGGAGACTAAGCACCCTGGACTTTCATACAATAATCCCTGATAAACCAAAAGCATACAGCAATCCCTGATAAACCACAATGTTGCATTGCTCATTCAGTATTTTTCTCTGGTGACAGAAAGAATAAGGAGGTCATACTTTTAGAAATCAGATAGATGTGGAAGGATAACAAGCCTTCAGCTCGGATTGTCCTGCTAGCAAACGAATACTTTGGAAGGGACTGCATAAGGAAAGATGAGCTGTAATTACAATATATCAAAGACAGTCATAAAAATTGAATTTAGAATTATTTGTATGTATCTTCCGCAGTTCTTTTAAACTGATTACAATTGTTACAATGATGTAGTGCATTCAGGAAAAAGGCTTTTTTTAAAAACTCACAGAGACAAGCATGAACAAGTGAGCTATAATAACCTCTGACAAATGTTAGATTCTTAAAATTAGGAATTCATATTATCTAGGTGCTCAGTTAATACTTCCTGTGCCAAAAGCAGATGTCATTTAACTGAAATTCTTATGCTTGGTACTTTTGAGAGGAAAAAGAAAGAAAACAAGGAAGTGATGTACATATTCGGGATCACATTGGGCCTCTCTTAGAGGTCCATTCAGAAAACATTGCACCTGCAAAGAAACTGTAGTTATTAAGGTCATTATCAGTGAAATATTGAGATTCTTTAAATATTCTACTAAATATTGGGCTCTTTAAAAATACATAGCTCTTCAGTCTTACATCTTGAATTCATACATTTATATCCAGTTTGTTTATATGTCCATTTATATCCTGTTATGTAGAGGCATAAGAGCAGTAGGACTTGTGTCATTAGTAAAGATCACAGTTATTTAAACAAACATGTTTTTTGAGCTAAAAGTTTGATTGTGTAAGGATAGAAGTACTATGACATTGCCTGCAGAAATCAGTTGCATAAACGTATTGGGTAAATTTCAATTCAAAGACCCAATTGATTCTGGTCCATTCTCCAAGCTGGGACATGTTCCTTACAACTTAGACTTGAAAATGAAATCTGGGAAATTAAAATCTACTGATGCCAATGACCACCTCCTACTGCTTTCTTCCTTTCAAAGGTTTACACACAGAAAAGTACACATTTTCTTGTTCCAATTCACCGAGTTAGTTGACTGCATTCCCTCATCAAAACTCATTCCTCTTGACTACAATTTCAGTATTAACTGCTATCGAATATCTGGCAGCTTTCTAGATTTCTTGGAATTAGTAAAGACCAAGTAAGAAAAAGCGAGATTTCTCAAATGGCAAAACTCACAGTCTTCTCAAACCAAGGATTTCAAAACCAACATTTTCACTTCTCCTTCTGTCGGCTTCTCGTTAACTCATAGCCCTGTGCTGCTATTGTTGTTGATAATGATTTATTATGCATGCTGAAACATAAATGTTTCCAGCTTTTTAGAAGCAGTTTAAAGAAACATATTCCTGTCTCAAGCTCATATAACCTGCTGTCCTTTATTCCCTTCAAGTAACATGTTCTTTGGCCCATTCTAGTTATTTGGGTAAAGTAGCAGCCAAAATCAAGATATTCAAAGATATTTGATTTAGTTTTCCAAAGACAGCTACCTGTGGGTACGGTGATGTCCTGGATTTTGACTTTGTGCTCGAGAGGCGAGATTTGCTTCCCTTTCTATTATCCGTAATGGTCGGAGCTGAATTTGCATATGAGAATGCTGGCTTGGTAGCAGTGACCTGATCCAGGGAGAGCTGTAGTCCTTTATATTCTGTGTCCCTATATGAAAGGCAAAAGTGAAAAACAAACTCACTTCATGTCTTTATGGGAAACATTCCTTTATTCTTAGTGGGGGGTGAAAACGGAAGATATTTTTAAGAAAAAAGAGTAAAAACCATCCAGGGCATGCCAGTATATCCCCCTAATACATTTATGGAGTATAGCTTACTAAGCAATAGCAGTATTTTTTCACTGAAAATATGATTGCTTTTTGCATCCAGCTGTTATCACCCTGATCTGCTTTCTTCAGTAATAAAAAGCGATGGGATGGATATTTCTGAGATTTGTGTTACAGTTCTACATTGGTCACATAGCTAAGCAGTAAATAGGATACATTTTCCTCACAACTCTTTTAACCATATGACTACAAACTTTCCATGTGTGTATTATGTGTGTTTGTGTGTGTTCACATGTGTGTATGTGGGGTGCACATAACAGCTTAGACAGATGACTAAATAAATTGAACAAAATAATTTTTAATGGGAAACATTTGATCTCTAAGGTTGTATTTTTCATTGCTTAAGAAGTTTCAGGCAATTGCGTAAATTTTGTTGGGTTTTTTTTTCTTCTATGGGTCTTATGAGTGTTTATTCATCCATTTTTAGTTTCTTGTACCAGTTTACCAGTCAGGGAAAACAGCTAAATAAATATAAATCTTGTGATTTAAATAGCCTGTCCCTCACCCACAAAATAATAGAGATTTTCTATGGGGAGCTATATATAATGACAGTTTTGGAAGTTTGGCATTAGTTTCTTCAAACTAATGAATACATAAAAGTAAGGAAAACTGGCATTGTTCACAATGTCTTACTAAGCATAATGAGGGCATATGCATTGGACTGCACTCCTCTGCACACATCTGCATGTCTGCTGATACCCGGGGGAGTAACAAATGAGCTCTCCAGCTTTCATGTAGTCATACGGAACCGATTCTGACAATGATTTATTAAAAGAGAGCAAAGCAAGAGCTTCTTCCTGACCTACCTACCTGGAGGAAAAGAGGAAGGGTTCATTTTTTTTTTCCTTTGTATTATCAGCAGAGAAATAAGGGATAAGGGAGGAAAAATGCTTCTCTTAAGCAGTCAAGGAAGCAACATATTCATTCACACATTATCCCATACCCCACCCAAACCTAAAGATTAAATATAAATATAAATGACTTATAGTTAAAATAAATTGTTTACCCAGCTTTAGCAACAATATCTTGGTCTATAATCACACAAATATTGATGTGCAAGCCATAAGAGTCTAACTTTTTTAGAAAGAAACTGCATCACAGTCTAAGCATATTACAGCTTAGTAGACTGAAATGATTTCTTATGAAAGTCAGGAGTAGAAGAATAAACTTGCTAAGTCACTGAAAAAAGTGAAATAAGATGAACCATTGAGCAACCACTGATAAACCTGCATAACCAACAGATTAATTCATCACAGTTCTACAATTTTTTTTTTCTTCTGATAAAAGAAGAGGTTTAGGTTTTTTGACCATGCAGACAATGTATATATGTCTGTGTATATAGAACACATGAAAGTAAATCCCTAACATTAGAACTGCACTGACTGTGCTGTTTCCAGTCCACAGCAGACAGAGATTTGTCAAGCATAAATAGTGCTTTGTAATGCAAAATTAGTTCTTTAGGTAAGTTCTTGGGGTAGTTCTAGTGAGGTAGTTCTCGAGGTAATTTCTTCAAATTTTGGCTTTAATAGAGATAGGTCTCTGCAAGAACACATGTATTTCAAATATCCTGTCTGCAGTGAAAGTGTCTGAGTGTGGGGATTTGCTTTGCCCTCTTTGGAAGGTATGGTTCATCTACATATTTTGAAAGCATTAATTTTTCCCATGGTTACCCTCAAAATTGTCATCCAGACACCTTGACTTGACATGCAAATCATCTGTCTCCATGACTGATTCCTAGGAAATTATCTCCATGTTATATGAAACACAAGAGATGTCAAACAGTCTTAATAACTGCTACAATGCATGAGATTCTATCAATAGCCCTGAAAAAAAATATTAGTCTCATCCTGATATACACACTCCCCCTGACTAATTATAAGAAGAGGAAGGGTCTTGTGTTCTCAGTGTCAGATGCAGAAAATATTACCACCAGAAACTAAAAATAATCAAAACTAGGTAGGCACATTTTCAGAGCCTTAGGGGGTTGTATTTTGGTTTTCAGCCTACCAACCCTTTTACCTTTGGTTTTGCTGAAGAACCCACAGCTCTGTGCTCCTGCCATTAGCTCCCTATCTCTGTTTTTTCCACCCTCTAAACATCTGCTGCTCTCTTGTGTCACTGAAAAAGTTTTAAAACCCTGGGAGAAATGCTACCCTGCTATTCAGACCACACTGTGATTCCAACACTGCTTGTCTGCTGTTATATGTGTAAGGGCCAACCACTCAAGAATACAGAGACTACTCTCTACAATGTTTCTAGGTTGTGGGAGCCAGAAAAAAAAACCCAACAAAACAGTCAAACCAGACTTACCAAAACCTTGCATGCCATTCTGTGTTACTTTTCTACATCCTTTGTATTGTTATGGTGAGGGGTCACCCTCCCAGAACACCACACCTTAGAATAAACAAGACAAGCTTGTATTTGCAGCCAGTTGCTTAAACAGTAACTTCATCCAAAAAATTATAATAAAAAACTACCTGAAGTTCTTGCTGCCAGATGCAAAGTTTTCCCTTAGAAAAAGAAGACTCCTGTGCTCTTTTTGCAGATGAAATACTGGACTTTTTTCGTCACTGAGTGATGATTCAATACCATCTCAACCCTGTCCTAGAGGAGCTACCCTTCAGAGCAACCAAGAGAGATACCAGAACACTATCAGCAGCTGCACAAGATAAGTACCAGAAGTTAAAAAAGAAAGAAAACGTGGAGGAAGGGTCCAATGGCCTCAATATCAGATGCAAAAGATGTTCCACTAAGAAATGAAAACATTTTTGAGTATATACATATGCATTGTGAGACAAAAGACTAGGGAAAGCAGGGCTCCTAGTGATATACAAACTACAGATGGAAATTCCAACAGCTTCCTAGAAGAATTTATAAAGCTTTCGCCAACATGGAACTATAATCTCCACATTCTTATTCTCAGACTCCTGAATCCTCTATTACACAGTCACAGCCACACACTAGTACAGCATCTTGTGTTCTATGCATAATTAAAAAAAAGGTGGTGGATACAAGCCTCTTCCTCCAAGGTCCTCACCTTCAGGATCCCACAGGGATCCATACAATCTACATCTATCTACATGAGACTGCTGAGAGAGAGTGATATGGCATGTGTTCAATTGCTAACAGTATGTTGCTGACAATCTACTATTTATCTCATTTTCTGATGCAACTATCATCACTATAAAACATCAGAATAACTACAGGAAATTAGCTCTTAAATGAAGAACAGATGGATCAAACTGAATCCAGACAAGACCAAAGTGATGCTTCTTTGCAAAGGGAAACACATTGAAGACCTCCACCTTTTCATGATGGGAAACAGCCATTCTTTCCACAGTTGGATGGAAATTCTAGGTCCTCTTTGACTCTTCAGAGGACATGAATGCTTATGCTTTTGGTAGCACGTGGTTCAAAAATTGTATTATTTTTCCTCTATCTTGTCGTTCCTCCCCATATGAGAATCTGGCTGGTATGGTCAATGAATCAGGCACCTACAGACTGGATTGCCAGGCTTCACTGTAAGCAAATTCAGAAGGCAAAGCATAAAATTTCCTTGCTGCAATATGCTGTTTGCCATTGTCTTCTCAGATCTAACTCCCAGAAGCATTTCCACTCTATGCCATGTCTCTGGCACTTTCAGTGCTCTTTATAAAGCTTGAACCTGATTTTGAAAGTATTTATAGGTATACTACATGTACACCATGAAAAACTGAGGATCAAAGACTGCACCAACTGCATTTCTCTGCAATGAAGCATCTGAAAGCTGAGTACAAAACATTCTTCACTAAAGACATCTAGCTACAGCAAACTGCAAAGATGGTGAAGGACAAGGGATGAAAGAGCAGAATGTTTGGAAGAGGAAGCCAATCTGTTTGTACATGACTTGAATGCCAAGTGAATCTCCAACGCTTATGTGAAATCTCAAAATTCAGCTTTAGAACTTTTTCCCTACTACTATGGCCAAAATGTACTATATGAAAAAGGTAGCAATAGTCTAGCTAACCAAAGTCTGAGTAAAAGATAATGAATCACTAGCAAACAGACACACAAAAAAAAAAAGTCAGTAAGGGAGTATCAGAGGACCACAAAACTTGAATTCTTAGCAAACAGGAGAGTTTGCACAAATACAGTGACTAAGCGTGTGGTTAGAGCTCACCATCAAAATGAAGAGAAAATGGGAGGGTTTTTTTAATGTGGGCTTTTTGAAGGAAAAAATATGAGGAAAGGGTGAGTCAGCATGACAGAAATAATGTTGGGGAGACAGAGGTCCAGAGTGGCTCACAACAAACTAAAACTACAGACAAGCTGGGCTTTCATTGTAATTGTGTTTCTTCAGTTAATATGAAGATGTTTGGAACTACTATAGCTCACCATGGAAATGAGATTAGACACTAGCATTAGACAGCTAAAGGCACAAATAGTTTTCAAGATATTATTACTCCCTACTTAAAGACAGTGTTGGCTATGGAACAGAAGAGAACTTAAGCCCTGAAAAATGCTTCTCCAACAGAAAGAGCAGATAAATAGGATGTATCCAGAAGAAGTGAAAGCATGACACTCATTAGTAAATAATAAATAACCAGATTCATCCAAAAGTACTTCAGAAGGGCAATCAGACTGAAGAATACAGATCTTATGTATCCAGAGCTATAAGCAGCATAACCTTCAAAATAAGAAGAAAATCTTCAGAAAATAAGAGAAAATGCTCAGTTCAAGGAAAATTCTGCAAAACTGTGAGGAAAAGCATCTTTTACATTAATAACACTACATGCCAGAAAGGTACACATACAGTAACTGAGAATACACAGATAACCAACAA